ATATTTTGCAGTTCCTAGTACTATTGAACGGTTTTCACACAGTAATCTTATATCCTCTATCTGCTCAGCCTCGCCAAAGCGACTCTGATCTCCTTCCTATATGCGTGCTCCACAACATAGCATCCTGATCCTCTCTTAATCTCCCTGACGCGCTTGTGCTTTGCCAGGATCTCTACAGGTTTCTCTTCAAGTCCATACTCTCCTACATTCACACCAGTCGGGCTGGATTCAGTGAGAACAGCTGCAACCTTGACAACCAGACCCTGTGTTGGTACACTCGACACGAAACATTTTTGCGCTTTGACGCAGACTTGAGTTTACTTTTTGATCTCTGCGTCGGGGTACTCGATAATCGTGGGCGAGGCAGAGAAATACTTGGCTATGTAGGATATGGCTCGCTTGAAAAGAGTGGATCGCGGTATTGAAGGAGCAAGAGGCAGTGCGGTTGTAGGGCCAAAATATGAACCAATACTATCATTATCCTCAACCCCCCCAGCAATCGTTCTAGTAATTTTTGCTGTCGGATGCTGCGCGAGGAGTGTATCAATTTTTGCCTGAACTTCAGGGTCAATACCTGGAGGTACGTTTGGCAGTGATTGGTCGAAATCGGTCATGGTTGCAATGGAAGACAATTACATGTAATCGTGCTATGGTTATTCGGGAACATCTTGAAGAGGTAGGACTTGATACTGTAGGAAACGATTTTACCAGCGAGCGTTGTGGAAGTGAAATAACGTTACACGTCAGCAAGGCGGGTAATAGAGTTTCAAGGAGTGAAGCGCGCAGTCAGGGAACCCAAAGGTGCGATATGAATAACGAGCGAGAATAAGAAGCAGTGAAAGATGCGCATATTGACAGATTCAGTTGATATGAATGTGCAACATTGGACAACACGTCTTTCTTGAAGCGGCATAGCGTTTGTCACAACGCTGGTGAGGACGCAATGCGGCTTTGGAATGCCAGACACATGGTGGCATGAACATGTCCAAATGACGTGTTTGTCAGCACAAATGGCCGTACAAAAACCTGTGCCCTCTTTGTTGGTTCTCCTGATCCTCACAACCACACACCTACAAGCGAATATGGCAGCCGCATCGACACCATCGTCTTCTCCAAAAAACTCACCACTACATATCTCGCTCTCACAATCAGCTCGGTCTACACTGCACCGCGAGTGCACATCCAGTCCTTCGAGATGGTCAGATTGCACGCCCAAGACCTTTCATGGGTTCATAGCTATGCGCACGTTCACACCCGTCGAGGAACTTCGCGACTGCCGGAATGATGGTCAGACTGCGTCGAGTGGCGACTATTTCTCAATGCAAAAGCATAGTCAGATGCTTTCTCCTAACCCGACACCATATGAAGCGCATGGCTACTTACCACTTTGTTCTGTCGCGGCGGTTGCGGAGAACGCAGTCGACTACTTTGTTAACAGAAGTGATGCATCAACGGAGTCTGCGGGTCTAGTCGAAAGCACGGATTCCTACATCCTGAAGAGTGTAGATGACGGCCAAAAAGAGAGCATTCAGACACAACAGCTCGAGGGCTATGTTCATACGAGCCATCTTCCGCTCAGTGAGCCTTGGCATCAGACAAAACTCCTAATCGAAGAGCATGGTGTTGTGTCTGGGCCGGGAGAAGACATCAAATTTGGACTGGGCCGTAGTAGTGGCGACGAACAGCACAAAGGAGAGTGCAACATATGCGATAGTTCATGTACCGGTCGCGCTAGTCTGGAAATCGACGGAACCCAATCAGAGGTTCCTATAGAGAAAGGTTCCGTGGAGGGAAACCCGGTTTAGGTACAGAATAGAATGATTGAAAAGGTACTGATAGAGGGGTAGAACAAGCTTCATGCTCTCGCGAAGGAAAATAGGTGGAGGAAAGACCAGGAACCTTCAAGGCAAAGCTGACAAATGAATCGCAGAGGAGGGAATGTAGACAAGATTACCGCAATCATTCACCGAAAAAGTTTTGTAGAGAGAAACCGGAAGAAAGGCACATGGCTTGACGAACTGACCACCAACGACAACTCGCGATATCAAGTGTCCAGCGAGTCGCCTCTCGCCGCCACTGGATGATGCGGGAGCTGGAACAGATACTCCTTGTCCACACTCACACCGACAACGATAGTAACGCAATGTTAGCTATACGGTGGAGCATTACCTTGGTTGTATTGATGTTCCAAGATCAACTTTGATTTCGTCGCGTACAATGATATCGTGTCTAGGTTGCTCTAAGTACTGGCGTTAGAAGATGTTTGGAGGGCCCTGTAATCGTGATGAGTCTGTGCCCCATGAATTGGCGCTTCATTGAGCGAGATGCTCGTGTATTGAAAGATGAGTCGATGCTTGAGGGATGTCAAGTACATTGCCGCTAGCATCTCGTTGGCAATGCACTAGGCTTTATTGAGCATAGCCTATATCCGGCCTCTTCCCCTTCCAGTGTTTGTCCTCTGACGCTCTCAGGACCTCCCCAACATCATTACTTCAACACTCAGGATTCCTTTAGCCTCTCTCAAGGCTAGCCATGTCTGGAATTGAACTGAGCGACCAACGGTTGCGCAATCGAAGATTGCATGCACAAGATGACCGGCCACCCGTACCACCGAAGACCTTCAAGACTGAGAACATTTCAAAAGCACCGCTTAGACGCGTCGCACCTAGACCATTGGATTTACAAAACCACTCAAAACCACTTCCACCAGTTCCGCAATCCGAAAGGGCAGCTGCATCCAGGAGCGAGCCGCTGTCAAAACCATTGCCGTTGCCGCCAAAGAGTGTTACACTTCGATCAACCCTTTTGTGGGTGGCAGCTTTATTCGTGTGGTTTTTACTGATCGTGGTACTATTACCCGTAATCACAGAAAAAGACGCCATGCCTGGTTTCAACAAGTGGCTTCGTAGTTTCCTATGACTAGAGCTATATCTGGCAAAAGGTCTACAGCTTCGACTCGGCCTTTGTAGCGTCTACCAGGCTCTTCCTCCCACCGAAACCGAACAGATATGCGGCTACCTTCCGCATTTGGATCTCTTCACTACCTTCAGTGATTCTGTACCGGCGATGATGTCTCCAAATGTGCTCGAATGGGTAGTGCCTTGAGTACCCGTTACCGCCATGGACCTGAATCGCGCGGTCTGCGGCCTGCGTACACAGCCTGTTGGCGTAGTAGTTACACATGGAAACTTTATCGCCAATCTTCTTCTCAATCTCATTGTGCGGCATAGAATCCATCTCTAGCGCAGTCTTCCGTATCAATTGTCGCAGCATCTCGCATTGGGTCGCGAGTTCTACAAGCGGAAATTGTATGCCCTGGTTGTGCGAGAGCGGGGTACCGAAGGGCGCGCGTTCGTTGGCGTATTCGACCGACTGCTGGACACAGTATACGGCTGCACCAAGCGACGAGGCGGCTTGCCGAATGCGGTTCTCGTGGACGAAGGCTTGCGCGACGCCGAGGCCGTTGTGGATGGGACCCAATGCGGCGGTTTCGGGTACCCAGACATCCTTGATGGAGACGGTCGCGTGATCGGTGGGCATGTTGAGCGTCCTGCGTAACATTAGCAAGCGACTCCTGTTGCTATAAGACTGATGACGTACCATTCATACGACTCTGCCTTCAAACCCGGCGTATCGATGGGTACCACGAAGCACGAGATGCCCTTTATCTCGCCATCCTTTCCTGATGTCCGCGCAAAGACGGAGCAATGTGTCGCGTGGTGCATCCCAGTCTGCCATCGTTTATAGCCGTTCAGCAACCATCCCTTCACACCGTCTCTCGTCTCCGGTCGCCCCTTAGTCGCCATGTGTGTCGCGTCTGAGCCATGACCAGGCTCCGTCAAACCGAACGTCATCCTAAACTTGCCCTCCAGTCGCAGTGGTATGAAATCCCTCTTCTGCTGCTCGTTGCCAAAGTTCATGAGCATGATGACATCGGGAAAATTTCCGACCATCGAATGCTCCGTCTGCAAGTCATTGAACAGACCCAATCCCTTTGCCGCGAGATGCTCCCGGATCACGGCCATCCAGAGGTTGCTTCCTCGCCCATCGGCACTGTTTTGTCCGCCGTACTGCTTCGGCAGCGACAGCCTGTAGAAGCCAGCTTCATCAGCCAGTTTCCTCGACTCTGCCAATAACTCCTCCCACTCCTTGCGCGGGAGCCCGCCGTTATCCCAATCGGTTCGAGCGTGTTCGCGGCGGTGATCGAAGAAGCGGTTATTATCGTCTTTGTGTTGAAGAGGAGTAATCTTGTCGTCGATAAACTTGTCAAGATCGGCGAGATATTGCTTCAAGTCATCAGGAATCGAGAAGTTCATCGTGTGAGACAGCGACATTGCGGAGTCTCCGTCAAAAGGTATGGTTGGCGGAGGCTGCTGATGATGGCTCGTTGCTGCGTCAGCGATTTGGACGTCTCTGGATAGCGTAGAGAAAGCCAGAAGCTTGCGATATAAACATCAGCTTCGGGACGCGCATCTTGATGACTCGCTTGCTCTCAGTCGTGGAGTTGCTCTGCTTGGAGAGTCGCTTTGCGGGGAAAGGAGCACAGGCCAGGCGGAGCTGAACCTCGGCCTTCGCCGGTGCGCCTCAACCATGAACCCCATGATGATGGACAACGGAGAACAGAGAGTGGTACTATGGTTGTCGGTGGATTTTGACCTGACCTTACTCAACGAGTAGAACTATCAGATATAAATCGCAGCCCTGAGATCATATGCCATGGCTCACGGCATCATCACGCACCACTAGTATCTATTAGAGATGAAAGAAAGAGAGAAAGGCGCCTGAACATGATACCTTGCACTCCTTGACATGGCGAGTATGGCTTTCATGAACTCAAGAGTTACATTGCCGTTTTCGTGCTGGTTCAACACGCCATGGCTGAGAGTCTTATCCAGAAAACTCACCCTAAACAAAGCTGATATAATCCAGGCTGACTTCTCAACTCGAGAAGGACCTGATCTCTCCGCCATATGAGTTTCTGTTAACCTGTAACCTTGCACTCAAACCTTCCGAAAGCCCCTATACCACCGCCTCTTCACGCCATTTTGGTCCTGTCCAAGCTTCTCTTGCGATCCGACCCGCTCGTAATCTCCTGTCGACGCCGTCGTAAAGGACTTTTGAGATGAGCTCGTCTTTGGCGTCTGCGCGTCCGCTTTGCTTGTCTCAGTTGCCTCAAGGGAGAAATTGAAGTACTCCAATAGCCCTATCTGTGCTTCTTCCAGGCTCTTCTCCCGGGACACCTGTTGCATTTCGTTTCCATTGTTTGATTCTTCTTTGCCTGCTCCAATCTTACTCATGTCCAAACCCTCAGGCATTGCGCTTCTTCTCGGGAACTCAGCCTCTTTCAGCGACGGGGGTGTCAGATATTGGAATGTTTGTAGCCCTGCTATGGCTTTTGATAGTCTGTCAATCTCGTCTTCTTCAGTGTTATCGTCGCCGCTGTACACACTACTACCCGCACTAGCTGTCTTATCTGGAGCAATTACATCAGAAATCGTGCTGATGTCTTTCCGCCTCTGACTCACCGGAGATACTGGCGAGGCAATGAACTCAAAGGCTTGCTGTTTGTTTTTATGCAGGTTAAAATGAGCTATACGCTGGCTTTCGGAACCACTTTTACCATCGGTAAGTGCGTCCGGCGCGTGCTGCTTAGTTACCTTGGTCTTGCTGGGCTTATAGCGCTCGCCTTGGAGCTGTGCGAGGGCTTTTGCTTGTTCTTCGGCACGTAGATTGAGTATGCGGTCCAGTGTGGATGTGCGTTTGTGTTTAGATAGAGTTTCCGGCTCGTTATTAGAGGAGATTTTCAAAGGTGAGGGTGCTTCAAGGACCGGGGATAATGTGTCAGGCCACTGGTAGCTTGCCGGTCTGCTTGCGGGGACTGCTATCGCTCTTGGTGTCTTTGGTGATGCTGGGATAGCAAACTTCGATTTGAACTCGGGCGCAGTAGGATGCCGTATCTTGTTAGAAGCTCCAAGAGGAACTCTCCGCTCGCTCGTCCTCTCGGTGTGCCTCTTACCGCGCTTTGCAGTAGCTGCTTTCATGGTTTCTATTGTATTCTGGCGCTGTTTCTGATTCATGTCTTTCTTCGCGAGAGCATGACGGAACCCTTCTTTTTTCGAGCTGCACAGATCCATACTATTCCTTGCGTCTGCTGCATCAAAGTACGGAGTGAAATCTCTCCTTCTGGACCTCTTTCCTATAGATTCGGCCTCAGCCATACCTGCTGCTGTATACATCGCTTGGTTACGTCCATATGGTCCATCACCGACGATCTCGAGATAAGGATTATTGAAGGTAGCTCGACGCGGGAGCCGAACTGGGGTGTTTGGCTCTCGATATTTTGTCTCACGTGTTTCTCCACTCATGGTCTGGGCATGGGGCGGTGCTGCATTCTGAGACTGGGCACTGGGCATGTTGTGGATAACACCGTTGGCATCGTCCCAATACGGGGTGCTCTGTGTCTCATAGCGAAGGGGGTCACTGCTTCGCTGTCGATCCTGAGTCGCCAAATTATGACCAGGTTTGTGGCCTCGAGGCGTTCGTGGAGATACTTGAACTTCAGCTCGCGCGCGTCCTCGTTCTCGTAGGTGGCGGACCTCTGCCATTTGTGGAGAGTGCCAAGTTAGATCTGGATCTGCCATTTTGGTATAATGTTTAGTACAGTGGAGTTAGTAGTGAACGCGAGTTGGACCTGTAACTTTGTGATGAGAAGGAAACTTGGTTCTTTGATCTACACAAGGTAGTTGATAGAATGCAATGTGCAAGGGATAAAAGAACTCGCGGGAAAGTAGGCAGCTGCAACGGACACGAGTATTGTGAGTGAATGACCCTGGTCGTTATGTACTGTTGTCCTGGTGATTGGATCATCGATCACGATAAAAAATTCATGTCACCAAAACTTCAATGAGTGACCGCATCGAGGTCCATGTATTATTTACTTACCCTGAAAACTGTTACTCTATTGTTACGAGCTCTAGTCAGCGAATAAACCATGTCGTATCGCTTTTTCCGTCCCCTTCCTCAAACAAAACGACCAATGCCATGGCTACAACTCTTATTTTGGTGGTTTTCCATTGAAGGCCGTCGGTATGTCTCGGTCGACCTCTTCAAAGTCTGCGGTCAGGTCATCCTCATATCTTATCATCTCGAAGTCCTCCCTCAAGCTCTGCTTCTTGTCGTTGCTTTCATCGCGCGTCAAATGGATGTCTATGTCTCCTTCACCAGGTTGTTCGTTGATATGAGCATGGCCAGGGCTATCAGTGTCATCATAAGGACCCTGTGCGTGGCTAACTGCGTTACTTTGCGACGGCGACGGGTGGTTCAAGTCAGGCGTAATGTCTTCCAAATATGTAACTCCGGGTCGGCTCAATCCGGGTTCCCTTCTTGCAAATTCATCATGTCGGAGTCTAAACCTCCGTGATCGGCGTGCTATGTCTTCAGCAGTGGGCTGCGGAGACACTGGCACGTCTGGTCGCAACTGTTGATTACTATAGTACCTCTGCGAGCGGGAAGCATGCTCGTTCATCGGATCTTCCATCATTCTTCCCGGTGCTGCTCTTGGACAGGGCATATGAATACCTGGCTGTGAGGACTGCCCGAATTGCACCGTTGTCGCGAGGTGAGCCGGCTGCCTTTGGAAATTACGAATGAATTCATCGCGCGAACTCTCGGAAGAGAACCACATGTTTAGGGACAGTAAAGCTATAGTGTTCCTGGAAGAGAATAGGAGTGCAGAGGTTGACCTGATCGAAGATATATTTCTTCATATAGGTAAGGCACGATATCGTTGAAGGTTGTGACACAGCAATGATTTGGTACAACACGAGGTGGCCAACGCAGCTAGACGGGTCATGCAGTATCTTAGTAGGCAACATCATACGTGAGCATTACCAGTGACGTGCAGTTGTCGCGAAATGTGGTTGTGTCAAGATTTCACATCTCTATCGCTACGCATTACTGTGAGCTTGCAAAAATGTGATTGTTTACCTGAAACGACACCTCAAGGGGAAGAATTCGCCAACGAGACGACCTAGGAAAGGGAGCGGATGCACGTGAAGGACATCCAAAGCAAAATGCTATGTAGGCAGAAAGCGCTAGACGTGCATACAAGAAATGCTCCGGAGCGAACTTGATCCCCTGATGGTGACCGCTCTTGATGCGTGGATATGTGGAGACGTGTAAATTGCAGGAGAAGTGGGCGTTTCCAGGGTGCGGCGTATGTCAAGACTGGGCAAGCTTCAGCATGACACCGACCGGATCATCATGGTATTTCTAGTTTCCTGGTGTTGCGCATCTCTTGGTGACAAGACGGTTAAATTCCCCCACAAAATTCGTCTTTTCTGTGTTGCTCTGATGCGTGGGGGAATTTAGCCATCATCCATGAAAGAAACGTGTTCGCGTGGCTGGAGACGCTAAAAACAAGTGTGGCGTTCGCTACCGATGCCAGCTTTGTCAGATGTTTCATCCTCCTTGCGTTTCCGCTCCTCCCCACGTCCAAGACATCGGATGCAACCCAATGCATCCTCGCGCCGTACGACACTGTATGAAGAACGCCAGATCTGGTATTGACAAGCGCACCGATGCCAAATGACCGGCTTGGCGCATGCGTGGCGGTGCGCTTGAAACATCATCCGCTACCAGACAGGCACTAGCATTGAAACATCCACGATATTGGTTCATGCCATAACGACTTTGGAAATATGGCCGTTGCGGGAAGGATGCATCGACGTACCTTCAATCTTGCGGGATGCAAAGCTGGCGCAAATCCATCAATAGGTATAATAGTATCTGATCTGCTCGCGATATCGGTTTTTGTCATTCGATACATTCTTTTACACATTCTCTCATCAACTACCTCTTGACTATTCTCTCATTTTCTCTCGTTGAACACCTTGAGCGGAATATTCGGCTGGTCTGAGTGAACGTTCTTTACTTTCTCGAAAATATCACAGAACCCCGTCCCATTTGAACCTCGCGTACCAAATTTACAGCATGCGTTTCGAGATCATTGCACTTCTGGCCGCGGCTGCCACCTCATCTGCCCAGTCGGTTGTTGGTACAGCCTATGGCTACGGTGCCGGTGCAACTGGTGGAGGAGACGCTGCCGCTGTCACCCCAACCACGAACGAGGAGCTCGAGAAGTACCTTTCCGATGACACCGAGCGCGTTATTGTACTCAACAAGGAGTTCGATTTTACCGGCAAGACCGCGACTGGTGCTGGTTGCGACAAGTCCACCTGCTCAGCCAAGAGCGGCGGTGGACAGTACTACCTGGGCGACCTCTCCTGCGGTGGTTCGGAGATGACACCCGTCAGTTCCATCACCTACGACGCAGCCGGTGAGACCGCGCTCAAGATTGGATCCAACAAGTCTATCCTCGGCGTTGGCGGAAAGGGTGTGATCAAGGGCAAGGGTGTCTCCATCGCCAAAGACGCCAGCAACGTTATCATCCAGGGCGTCGAGTTCACCAACATCAACCCCGGCGTCGTATGGGGAGGTGACGCTGTTGATATGCAGGGAGGAAACACCAAGATCTGGGTTGACCACTGCAAGTTCTCACTCGTCGGACGTATGTTCGTCGTCAGCCACTATGATGGCTCCGAGGCCACCCTCTCTAACAACGAGTTCGACGGTGTCACCACCACGTCCGCTACCTGCAACGACAACCACTACTGGACGATGATGATGATTGGAAAGACTGAGAAGTTCACCCTCGACAAGAACTACTTCCACGATGTATCTGGTCGTGCGCCTAAGCTCGGCCAAGACGGTGTCAGCAGCACTTTCCACGCTATCAACAACCTCTTTGAGAACATGAAGGGTCATGCTTTCGATGCCTACGATGGTGTTAGTGCACTCGTCGAGGGTAACGCATTCGTCGCCGTTGACCAGCCCAACACTGAACACGCTGCTGGTGTCGCGTCTTTCGTCAGCAAGGGTGGAGACGCCTGCTCTGCTCCCTTTGGCCGTGCTTGTCTTGAGAACAGCGTCGACTCTGCCAGCGGCGAGCTGGCCCCTGGTTCCTCTTCTGGCTTCATTGCTCAGCTTGGAAAGATTGACGTTCCTGAAGTTCTGGAGGCTAGCAAGGTCGCCGCCCACGTCAAGGCCAATGCTGGTCCCGCAAACCTCGGTACCGCATCTGCGTCTGCTCCTGTTGCTGAAAAGGTTGTCGAGCCTTCCAGTCCCACTTCTGCGGCATCGAGCAAACCTGCTGCTACTACTACCGCTGGCGCTGCCAAGCCTGCTCCTACCGCTCCCACTGGCTCTGGTTCATCCGCCGGTGCTGCCAAACTCTACGCGCAGTGCGGTGGCCAGGGTTTCACCGGTCCCACCGAGTGCGAGGCTCCTGCGACTTGCGTGAAGAGCAACGAATGGTACTCTCAGTGCATCAACAGCTCTTCCAAGTTCCGCCGCGCTCTTGGCCGCTACTTCTAAGCTCAAGATGTGTGGATGATGCAAAAGTTCTACGAGGAAGAAGGGGATGTGCAATGGATGGTGCTAGGTTCTGAGGACGCCTGTTCTTGTAAATAATTCCATTTAGATATTGTCAATACACTTGTCAAACAAGCTTTGTGCTATACCACACGCCTCATACTCATGAAAGACAGTCTCCACCGACTCTCAAGCAGAATGTTTCGAAAGCTCACCCACGCCATACTATGCAAGAATATTCTTCGGAATCATTTGCACTCTTGAAAGCCCTCAGACCTTCTACCCTGCTCAGCGAGAAGGTGGGGAACTCATTGTGCATAGCAATGCCATCTACCTCAAATCTGGAATACTTGGATGCCGCTGGGATCGCCAAAGAAACTGTCGCGATCGTGAAAGAATTGTGGTGGTGTTTCGGTCCATTTGTGTATGATAATCTCAATTATGGTGGCGACGGTAGCGCGGTAAGTACGCGTGGCTCGTCGTTTATGGGCCATTGCAGTACCAGGTGTCCGATGGGATGTTCCGTGGTATTGCGTCGCGATATCGCGCACGCAGCGATGCCGCTGTGAGCCAAAGGCAACTGTGGCACAATTGCCTAAACCTCTACCATTGATGCTATCTGGCATCCTCATTTGATTCTGAGCACCTTTGGACGTCGGTCTTCGCCAAATCTATGGTTTCGGGGACGATTCGCAGAACGGCGAATTTGCGCGCTGTAGTCCTTAGCCCCAGTGGCTGTGGCTCCTCTTTGGAACCCTCCGCTAGTGTTTCATGCCGAAAATCCCTCGATGATGGCTCACTAGGATGATTATACGTCTTGTCGAACCTTCGGTCTCGATTGTCGTGCTGCTTGTCGTTCAATCTTTTGATCCACTGGGTGCTGAAATAGGGTCGGTACTGCTCGTTCAACTTGAGATCACGCACCCGCGCTTCAAGGTCACGGTGTTCTTTGAGCATGGCCAACATATTGGCATCAATTCCCAGTGAGTCTTCTCCAGTGCTGCCGGCATCAAATGCACGAAGTCTACGACCAACTACATTGATCGCCGCATAAACGTACCTGCTCCCTTTCCCAAGGCAATTCCAAAGCGTCTCCAATTCACTAGCAAAGATTGGCCGAGCAAAGTGGGTTGCAGCGATGTAATGATCAACCCGCAAGGCATCTTTGTGAAGTTCGAAAAGCTCCATAGTCCTCGCCAAGGAGCAGGCCGCAAAAGTGTTCCTTGGGATACGGATCTGCTTCATCGTACCCATGGTTTGGTATTGGCAGGCCCGAAACATCCAAGCTACAAGGATCTTCATAGAAGCCTGGCTAGCCACTCCTTTGGGTAAATTCATCTCTTGAGAGGTTGGTGCACCTTTCCAGTTCTCGTCGTCCTCACGGTGTATGGTACGGATGAACTTGTTGACCACTTTACGACCAAGGAAGAGGACCAGCATCTTCTTTGGAACCCGATAAGCCAGAGCAAACCCTGTGTCTTGCTCAATGATGTCTACCACCGGACCGTTCAACGCATTGAGCTTCCGCTCAGGTTGAAGATAAGGGAGCAAACTCTGTAGGGTGTGCAGGTGGCGAATGTACTCAGGATTTGTATACGGTCGCGGCACACCTGATTGGGATGCCCAGCCTGCCCAGCCAAGCGTATGGGAAGCCTTAGCTGATGAGCCAGCTGTGTAGGTGGAACCCTCGTCTCCCTCACTCAACTGATGGCTTTGGTCGACAGACTCGCCATGTACGCCGCTTTTGGAGGCTGCTACGGCTGGGTAGAAAGAAGACCTATATACCTCCTGTGCTTCTGGGGCGCCTGATGCGGGGTAAATCATGCTGCGACGTGCAAGGAAGGCTCCTACAACGTCGCCTTGCCGTTCGTAGGCGTCCGATGCCAAAGGGCTACCTGTGCAAAATCCAGCAGCAGGGCTAGAGGTGGAGGCCGTGACATTGCCGTCAGAGTCATAATGGTAATATGTCGTCATTCCTGGAGACTTCTCGCTTTCAAGATCCCGCGACGTATGCGTTGGCTGACTTTCGAAGCACAAGGTTGAACCACGGGAATCGAATGAGGTTCTGCGACTAGTGGTAGAATCAGGATTCGAATTTGCCACGGATCGGAATGAGCTGCCCAGATTGTTACTGTAGTTGATGGGAAAAGTAAATCGCTGTCTCGCACTTAGCGCTATATATTCAATAGCGAGTGGGTTCATTGTAGCATGAAAGCGATCGCCGCTGTGAAAATATCATCAATGATCCACAACGCGACTGGCACGCCGTAGAATGTTGTCGTTGTCAGAGAAGAGGTGATGTGAAAGAGTGAGGGACAGTCGCTACTGCCAGAAGTTGGTGCTGGGCCCGTGCGCATACCAAATTCGGCTGCAACTGCCGGAACTAAGGTGAAACGCCGCGCCAAGAGGTCATCACGTGTACTGTATAGTCTCAAAGACGGCTTTATATGCTCACCTGCAGCCGGCGAAACAGGCATCACATATGAGTCATGGTTCGCTGTGGCCATGACGTCAATACGATAGACGGGCGATGAATGCCAAGCGTCTGCCAACATAATTATCATATACGAGTAGAATGATAAGGTTTCGTTGTTCCTTCTAGAACTCCGCTACTTTGCGAGCCTACAAACAGTCAGTCGTCTGATACCACCTTCTTTAGGCTCAGTGTCAGGAAACATCACGCGCCCAATCACCAATGTCAGTCTTTAGAAGCATGATACACGCCTCCATGCGTCTCTTTTCCGCTTCTCTTTTTTTGGTTGCGCATCTTCCTTGGTCACTGTCACATAGCGACCGGCCACGTATCCTTCTTCAAGATCTCCAAGGCCGTACATTCGCCCAGATGATGACAACAAGGCGCAATGCCTCCAGTCAATCCGTCCTTGACGTCGTGCCGCGAGCGACGAGTAACGAGTTGATCTTTGGATCCGTTGATCGGGCGCTCCGGTAGACAAAAGCTTGCCAGACTCCACGTCAGCTCCATCGAGCCCTGATAGTGCGGTAGATTGGTGTGCTGACCCGTCCGACGCAAGTGAGCTGGAGCTATGGAGATGCAGTTCAGAGGGAGTGTCTGAAAGTGTCAACGCTCGAGGCCTGGGCGTTACTGGTTGGAAGATATCCTCCGTAGTTTCTAAAGTATGCGTATCGTCCTGGGGCATGTTGCGGTATCCATCAATTTGGTAGGAAACCTCAGTGTGCTCTCCAGAGTCAGTTGAAATAAGCGACGTCGTTGACAAGAGGGTTCCGCATCCGTGTCGTAAAGAGCCGGCGTTCGAATTGATCGAACACATGTTGCGACTAGCGAGCGCTACATGTCGAGCACTAGGTTCCGCGTTGACCTGGTGTTGCATCCGAGACTCGTCTGAGCTCGAGCCCTCATTAGTAGCATCGTGCTCTGCCAGAATTCGCTGCAAATATGTTCTAGACTCATCTAGGGCAGTATCCCGCCAGATATTGTGTTGCAGAGGTGTTTCTTCGGTCACGCTTTGGGAACGACGTGCTCTAGCCTCTTGTTGAGTCTCCAAGCGGCAAACAGGCGTGTAATTGCCGGAAGCATCCAGGTTCAACCCTTGACCATCATTTAGACCTGAACCTGTGAGCCCCCTTGTATTTGACGAAGAAGTCCTATCAAAGTCTCGTGCATCGTCACAAGGCAAACCTCCTATGTCAGGCTCGAAGGACGACCGATGGTGGAATTGTGTGCCTAACGGATTGCTGTCAGGTCTGTCGCCGTCTTCGCTATATAGTGACGATGAGTCTGAACCGGTGTAGAAGGTCGCCATTTGTCGGGATGATGTATTCATTGTTATTGGCGGAGACGATAATGTCTGTGGGAGTCAAGCTTGATGCAGAGCAAGCAAGGGAGACTCAACGACCCAAATGCCTACAAGTGACTGGATGGGGGCAGACTGTACGCGTTTGCTTTGGACACGGGCTGACGGGCTGGCGGTAAGCGGCGTTGGTTGTTTGGGCGTTTGTCGAACATCAAGGAGGAGGATCAGAATCCATACATTCGTGACAAGATCTCATAAGGCTGCTCAGAAAATTTCCCTGGGCTCCTTCCGCACGTACAATAAATTGCGCGAATCAGTAGTGTGGGTGCGCCGTAATATTCCCCTCCAACCTTCCCTTTCATTGCCACGACTAATAAGCTCTAGATTTTCGAGGCATCTGTGGTGAACTTGAGCAGGCTACAACGGTAAGTTTTCGACGCAGATCACGGCCTCATCGCATGTCGTGAGAGAGAGGCTAAGGGCGTCATGACAAATCCTGACGATCTGATTCGCGTGTAGAAACGTACATTACAGGCGAACGAAGACATTGCATGTGAATTCATCCAACTGGTGTGACGAATGTCCTCGAACAACCCGTCTTCAGATCAAACTACCCCGTCAACAGTTTTGAGTGACCGCAAAATCCACAAAGTCAGCGTTGAGGATGTGAGCGATCGACTTAATGCCATGAAGGTCGATACCAAGAAGCATACCGCAGTAGATGATTTGGCGACCGCTTTAGCGTCCAAATGGGAGCCACATCGCACTCGTCGTTCGGGAACGAAGGGCGACACTGATGTGCAAGGTACCTCGTGACTATCGATAGCGGCAGCGAAGCCATATTTGGCTTGCATCGCGAAAGAACGAGATTAGACTTATCCCTGAGAGACTCTTGACACCTGTCTCTTCTTCGTTTCCAAATCCATTGCTAAAGGTAAACGCGCGATACAGGTTCGACACGAACGATCGGATGAGCAGGGAGGCAACAACAGGCTCAGACACTGTTACGATAACTACGAAAAAAGCGCTGGCTCCTTTGGTCTGGCTTTGTAAGAACTGCTGGTGCATAAGATCTTGGCCTATATGGTATGGCGGTGCTTGTCGTTTTCGCTGGAAGCGAAGATGTGAGGTGTTTGTCAGTTCCAGTGGTGATGCGGCCGGAAGAAAGCACGGCATAGCGCTGACTATGCGCTAATTACATGATGACGTTACACGTTCCTCTCCTTCGCGTCCACGATTCCCCATCTATCAGATCGTACCTCTATGCATCTTTGACTAGGGACCTGAGTGCTGCATTCCAAATGATATGATGGACATCTGCTGCCGACCTGCCAACGGCGCAATGATCGGTCAACGACGTACGGGCTTCGGAGCCCTACGTGTTCGAGTCGCATGCTATTGCAAGGCATAACAATCACGTAGCCTGAACGACATTCTACTGCAGGAGAACCAAAGAATTAGGCGACCTATGTGAAGAAACTCATCTTCAAGAGGCTTCATGACACATCTTGTCACTTCGACGCTGAAAGTCAGAAAATTGCAGAACATTCCGCTGCTCGTCTTAGGCAGTATGGATCACCACGGCAAAAGAAAAAGGCGGAACAAGAACAGATGGAGCGATTGATCATCGATGTGCGATTCAACGACATCTATCTGCGAATTTACTATTATAGGGCGACGCTGGATACCGGGAACTACACCACTACCGATCGCTCACAGCCACCTAAGTATCCCCGAGCGTCATTGTAGCTTACGAGCGCTTTGCCACGCCAATTTAGGATCATATCGACACACTAAATTACTTTCGGCTAAAAGGATTTCGAAACCAGCGGCGTACTCTACTCCATGTCTTATGCTTTCTGTCCTCTTTGGCGGCCTCTTGTACTGGGATTGCCTTCGCTACATCTCCAGACATCACCTCGTCTCGCACTGAGCTCGACACGATATCGCCAGGAATTGACCAGCTCTGTGCGTTCATGTTTTTCAGCGGCGGTATCGCGCGCGATTGGGTAAGATGAGAAGCTGTGTGGCTTACTTGTAATGGCGATGCGCCTTGTAGTAACGAATTGGTGGGAAAGAATGATGGAGCTGTACCTAGTCTGGCATCTCCATGTAAGGCGTTGATTCGCTTGGGACTACAGTTCCTGGATATCGGCACAGACGACGCATCTTGCAGGCCCTGAGCGTTGGCCTGTTCAACATCGCTCCATTCTGGTACCAAGCTCAAGTCGTCACTAAATATCCAGGCGGCATCCTTACGAGACCTCGGTATGGAATCGTCACTGAAACGCCAACCAATATTGTGTGGGACGCTACTGCTGCGGTGATGCCGAATCAAAGGTCGACTGGTGATGTCTCGGGGCGCTTCCGTATCAAGAATTACTGTTCCGGTCAACCTTTGGCCATCATCGTTGCTGAATCCTGAGTCGCTCTCGCTCGACGACTCCTCTCCAAGAAGGGTCGATAGCTGTACGTCATTTCGTGCTGGAGGGCTTGTTCGTAGCATTAATAGCCATGCATTCCGTAACTCATCATACGCGCAACACAACCTTCGTAGTCTCGTGCTTGAATCGCCAAAAGAATACCGCTGGTGCTGTCGGCCGAACACTACGCCCTCATTCTGAAGAAGTCTTTTCAAGGTACGTAAACCGGCCCACAGTTGCGCATTCTTACCTCCACTGTCAGACGGTTCGTAGGTCTCAATGAAGAAAGACTTCCACTGATCATCGTATAATGGACCGAGACGTATCATGGCTTCAAACTCTTTGGGTGAAAATGGGTTCCCATAGGTCAGCATCTCTCCCTTGTCGGAGAACGTAGCGCCCATCTGCTGCAAACGACCACGCAGATGCAAGATCTCGGAGAGCTCCTCCAGAATTGTTTTGCGCTGGATAGTATCAACAGACTCACGTAATAGACTACATCCCTCTGGTGCGCCATAGATACTCGAGAGGGTCTCCATTGATACACTGGACGTCTTCTGAGGCGCGCTCGTAAGTAAGGCTAGGGCTTCTTCGTGAGCTTGCATGATGGATTGGTCGTGGAGAGGCATGTGTGTATCAAAGGCGGAGCGACGTACTCTTGGAGCTTGAACTGGTTGAAATTACTTTTCGGCTGTTAGTTGCTTGGTGAGGAAGAATCCATTGCGGCTGAGAACAGACAGGTCGCTATTTGAAAGCTATCGAGTATGCGCCTGCAGCGTTGGCATTTTCACCAAGGAATACTACCTTATGGTCACAACCGGAAGAAATGTATTGAGTGAATGGTTTTATTCTGAGATACAGTTACAGCTGCAAAAGGCGCGTCAGTAATCTAGTTGCTTGTATGTTTTTGTTTCTTAGACAATAAGTGAAAACGTTATTTTATAGTCTTCGCACAACTCGCGCTCCCCTCTCTAAGCCGCTTTGCGTTATAGATTCTACTATAATTAATACTTATAAAATTTTCGTTAGACGTTCTTCATTGTAAACGTATCATACTCGATACCCTGGCGTCAGCGACCCATCATAGGCTTAATTGCTACAATTTAAGTTCGATACCCATCTCAAGCATCAGACTCTTGATTACTCGTCTCGTCCCCTGGAGACTAATACAAGCCTAGGCGCTGACTCATCCTCAGTAGCCTGCAGATATCTTTCTTCGGGCACTAGAAATGGTGAACAGTGCCGTTGAGGATAGATTATAGCATAAGTGGTCATCACTCTACTCTAACAACCGCACAATGTCCTCCTGTCCTAATTCGCGAGCAAGATCCAAAGCCGTCAATCCCACCTTGTTTCTGTACTTCTTGTCCGCACCTTTCTCTAAGAGAAATGAGACTGCCTCAGTACGGTGGTTCTTAACAGCACAATGTAGCGCAGAGCCCCAGCCTTTGTCCTGTCGGTGCGCAGGAATTGTCTCCAAGTTTCCATACGGGTGTGCATTGACATCAGCGCCGTGATCTAGCAACTGCTGCATTATGTCAATGTTGCCGTTTTCGGCAGCATTGAGGAGTGCCTTAGGCGCCTTTTCCAGCGATGCGTCATGTGCCAATAATAGCGCTGCCATATGCCTATCACCATGCATACAGGCCAATTCTAGTGGGTTGTTGCACGTCTGGGTACCCTCGTCTACCTCGGCGCCTTTTGATAATAGATGCGCAGCAATTTTCAGGGCAGCTGTATCGCCATCGGGATATTCTGGGCCTGTCTCCGTCGCACTGACAAGGAGTCTGTTTACCTTTCAGCTTTTTCTGCGCGTCAATTGGTTTCGAGAAGGGTAGCGAAAGGCTTACACAAGAGCGCTGCCAAGATGGTCAAAGTGCTCGTTGACATCCCAACCGTGCGCTATCGCGACATCGATGGCTTTCGTATTCCACCCGTTTCCCTCACGTGCCCCTTCCGAGACGTACATGATGGTGCTATCACCCCACCTAGCACCACGCTTGAAAAGCTCCTCGGCTATATCGAACTGGGCTAGCTCCAATGCTGTGCTGAGGGCCTCGGTCAATCCCTGACCCCGGTGCAAAGCATTAGGACCTTCGGCGTCGCGTGTCGACAGCATATTTTGTAGGGTAGCGAGGTCGTTAGACTCGACAGCGGCAAGCACTTGCGTGTTGAAGTTATTTTCGTTGTTATCAGTCATTGCTTGAGTGGTGTAAAGGATGAATTTCGAATGCGAATAATTTTCGCCCTTGCAATTAGTGATCAAGTATTGCGGGCTTGGCAGATGGGATCAAGCTGGCAGAGTAGTAATGCGCTGAAGGGAAGAAGTCGAAGGCGGGAAGTCTTGTTAAGACGCGGTCTCTTTAGTGTGGCGCAGTCAGGTCGTATAAGACGTACCATAGTCACAGCCCCACCTAGCCCAACATCCCTGTCTAGATCCTGAAGTGAGATCTCAGTCTAATAAATACAACTCGGTCGCGGGTTTCCCTTACTATGCAGAAACTAGCTAACAATTACTATGCTTATAGTAAAAGCCATTAATATCTCCTAGTACTAAGGTGACAGTAAAGAAACCTAACGATAACGACGATAAGGATTGTAATGCTAGTGAGAACGGCCTACGCAATGCGAGAATCTTACTGCAAGGCTAGGCACTGACTGATCTTTTACTAACTAGAACTAAAGGGATAGTGATAAATTGTGGATCTTATTATAGTAGTAAATTTGGTAGAGGGTGAAAGATATAAACAATCTATAAATAATACAGTTATACCCCTAACATTAGAAAGAACATTATTACGGTGTTGCCATCCCATCTAGGGCTGGCATCTCGGATGGCAAGCCTTGGCGGGATGTCAAATCAAATGATCAGCGCCCCGCACTGATCCTTTCTTTCTGACGCGAATGACCGATAGTCTCTTGCCATGCGACCTGCGTCAAGGAGGAACACTTCCTTGTTACCTTGTAACAATCAAGAAGATTGCTGACATACAAAATCAACCCACTTGGATAAGCTTCGCTAGATCCTTCAGTTTAACCGGCTTGCTTAAGAACATATTAAAGCCACTACCAATCGCCTCGACTCGTGCAGCCTCCGACTGTAAAGCAGTTACAGCAATTATCTTGGATGGCGTTAAACGATGCTTTTTCTCGTAGGAGCGGATCCGCTGAACGGCTTCATAACCGTCCATGACAGGCATGTTGATGTCCATAATGATTGTATTTGGCATACCGGTTCTTACTATGCGGACGTTTTCCGCTCCGTTGCTGTTACACGAGCTAAGATTTCTGTGAGCGTTCTCGAAAGCGTCAAGAGCAAGCTGGCCGTTCTGCGCGAGGATATGCGAGTACTTGTACTTTTTAGCGAAGGTAGAGAGAAGCTTGAGATTGATGTCGTTGTCATCGACAAGTAGTAAGATTGGAATTTGGGTGGGAAGTCCGAGTGCAGATGTGACTTCGGTTGACGGGGTACCCAGTCCCAAATTCCGTGCAGCCTGTGAGTCCAGACCAGCCTGGGGGGCCGATATGCGATGTCTCGATGAGGGGAACAGCCGAGCTTCTGTTGGCAACGAATGTACTGGAAGCACATGTGCTGACTTATGAGTCGACCGCGTTGGATGAGCCCAGGCCTGCTCTACAAAAGTAATATCAGTCGTCGCCCTTACTGGGCCAAACGATCGCAGTTGGGGTTGACTCTCAGTTCTGATGTCACGTAGTGCCACATCGTCCGCTGAGTTCTCCCTTCTAGACTCTTGATAAGCTTCTACTATGTCCAAACCTGCCATCTTAAGCTTCTCGTGCTGACGTAAAGCGGATGAGATTGCTTGAGTGATCTGTTTGATGCCACATGGGAGAGCAACATGTTCCATGGCTACATGAAACCGGAGATCGTCCGTTGCCCACGAGTCTCGTAGTATCCGTGCACTTGAATTATGGTTGCATATAACAAGCACAGGAGCAAGACCGTCGGCATTCTTTGCATGGAGATCATCCGTAGCACTGCTGTTTCGTAGTGTTGCAAGGCATCCAGCTAGTTCAGCTTCCATAACGACTATCAGGTCGTATGAACTGACGCTTTGCCACTTGCATCGCTCGAAATGTACGCCCATGAACTTGAGATTGTTTTCGACAGAAGCGATCGCTAATGAAGATAGTGCTGTTGTCGAAGAATTCTCAAAATCTGTTGGAACTTCTGTCCCTGTGACAAGACCGGCCTTCAGGACTCCAAAGACATTTGGGGAAGTTACAATTCCCTTGTCCCAAGAGTCACTGCGATGCGAACTGTTCTGGCTATGCTCTAACGGCACAAGTACAGTGACACAAGTGCCTGTGCCCTTTCCATTGCTTACGACTTCGATCCTGCCACCCATTGCATGTACAATTCGTGAGACCATGTGCAGACCAAGACCTAAACCATCGGACATCGTATCTTCTTGAGCAAAGTCATGGAAAAGACGATCGTTCTGAAACTTCTTCGACATGCCTATACCAGTGTCGGAGACAGTAAGCAAAGCATTGAAGCGCCGACGTGATCCTGGCTTGGGCTCTTGCTTTAGAGAGACCCTAATGAAACCGGAAGGTGTGTACTTGAGTGCGTTGGTGAGGAGGTTTATGCAAATCCGCTTCCAGCCGCCTGTCGCTAAGCTGCATGTCCAGGCCTTGCAGTCAGAACGGTCAATGTCAAGAATGACCGATGGGTGAGTGTCCTTGTGGAGTCTTTGGCCGTAGTAAAATGAGTATATAGAGGATATGATGGTATCTTCGGTCAGAGCATCTAATGCCACGCTCTTTTGTAGTGCTTCTAGATCATCGGCAGAAGAACTTCCGGTAGGTGGTAAAAACTTCCGACTGATTTTTGAGCCCTTGGCAGAACCCTTTCTCAACCGCCGACTCTTAATATTTGCGAAATCAAGCAAGTGCTCGATGATTTCAAGCAACGTGCGTCCGCATGAATCTATTTGTTCAAGAAACGTCATTGCTGTGTCGTCTAGCCCGCGGTCCGACAATAACTCGCATGATCCAAGAATACCATGCAGCGGGGAGCGGAGCTCGTGAGATATGCTTGAAATGAAGTCTGACTTGGCTTTGTCGGTCCCAACCACTTCAAGACGTTTGGTTTCAGCAACGATGATGTCACAAAAGGCAGCAACGAACTTCATCTCTGTTTCTTTGGCAAAAGTCCTGAACGGATCAAGAGTCCAGTACAGACCCGCAACAGCCCACCGTTTTCTCGTATAATCCCAAATGCCACTGAGTGCTATGCATCGCGCACCGGGAAATGCCGCTTGCAAAATTTCTCCGTCACTCTTCCGATCTTTACGGGTGGCTTTACGTTGCTGAACGCTCGGTGACAGCGCTGCAGCAGCGTCGATACCAGCGCCAGATTCGTCCGAAGAGAAGCCATCTTCCGAATGCGTTTTGAGGTGTTCATCAAAAGTCCAGACTTTTCCTCGCGGATTACGATTCATAAGCTTACGTAAGAATACTTCCGTCAACTTTTTGGGAGGCAGACTTCTGGGATGATTCATCCCTGGCATATCATTACGCACAGTTTGTGCACAACCCAACACCTGACAGACTCTTGCGCGCTTGACTCGTGGCTCAGCTGCAGATTCTGAATGTGAAAAGGTGCCTGTAGAATCGCCGCTCTCAGCAGTACTGCCTTCGACAGACTCAGCATTCTGGTCATTGCTCAACCCGCCAAACACTCGAACGGACGCGTCGAGAAAGACAACTCCATTGATGTTGAGCGATTGACAAAGGATTTCAGCAGCACGCTGATACGTACTCTTTGGATCGTCGGCAATCTCTTGCGGACGAGGCAGTGGACGAACCATTGAGTTTCCCATCGGAGACGCACTAGAGTTTGGTACACTTCCAGCATCTGTCCGCACCAATCGATCGGGTGAACCATGTTTCTGATGATTTGCAGAAGAGATTTTGCTGTATTCGCTTGATTGTCGTAGAGAAACAGCATCCTTTTCAAATACTTCGGCATGGGTTGCTAGTGGGCTTGGTTGATGCTGAACAACAAAGTGATCCGTTAACGACCGCGAAGATGGCGTGAAGGACGTTTCCGTAACATCAACCAATGCATCGGGCAGGCGATACTCAGCAGCGTGGGTGTTTTGGGCTTCTACGTCAACCCTTTTCGGAGGTGTATGGGTTGCTGACGGCGTTGTACGACCCGCATCTGAAGTCCCTCCACGCACAAAGTCTCCAAGTCCAGCCACCATACGATTGGTTTGCTCCCGCTCGGCAAGAGCACGCACAGCCTCGAGATGGGTCATGACCGTTTTCGACATGTCGCGCAGAAAGATGAGATCCTTATCCGAAACCCCATCTCGGACTTTGTCGTCAAGAATGCAGTATGCGCCAATGTTGATGCCAGATGGCGTAGTTATGGGTACACCGGCGTAGAAACGACCATTGGGAAAGTCAGTGACGTACGGCCTCGTAGATAGGTCCGGGTGCTTGGTCAGGTCGTTTACTACGAACGCGCTCTTCTTGATGTCGCTATCTGCAGCAGCGGAGATAGGAAATGATGGAAGATTGACGGTAGTCTCGCAACAGGCAACATCACGAGGAATAACAGAGTGGCCCATCCAGACCTCATCTCCGGGTTCGTGTATCGTATCATCTTCGAGCGATAGCGTTTGCGTCGCCTCAGCCATGATGTAGGCGTGATTGACATCAAAAAAGAAAATCAAACAACGGCGAGCCCTCAGCCTTAGAGCACCTAGCTGGCAGAAGGCTGTAAGAATTTTATCGGGACATGAGACAGCTTTGTGTTTGCCTCTGGCGTCAGGATTGCGGACGTCGCAGAATTGAGGACCATAATCAGACATCTCCTGGAATGGGCCATAGTATCTTGATAGAACTATTAGCACCGCCGACGAAGGATTGTTAAACAGACATTCGACCCAAAGGATAATTGGATGCCTACCGGTAAAATTGCTGCTCCCGCCTGTTCTCCCCCCGAACAGCTTTCCGAGACTCCCACGTGCGACCTGGCTTGAGGCAAGCACGTGCAGCCGGTACGTTGTCCATGACGGTACCGACAGAACCAAAGTGTGCGTGTACTCCGCAGGTTTTCTCGATACGATGGTAGTCCAGAGTATGGTGCTGGGCGAGAATGTGGTACGTGGCGACAGAAGTGACGTTTCTAATCTGCCACTAGTGTTCGTGTTCGCGCAAGGT